ATTTTAAATAAAAATAAAATTATAGGAGAAAAATATTTTCAAATTTATTTCGTTTATGTTTTGAAATTCTTTTTTAATTTTTTTGATTTTTTGATTCCAATTTTTTTATTTATTTATATATGCTTCATATATATAAAATATTTTTTTTTTGTTTTTTTTTTTAATATTTTGTTTTTACTGTTTTGTTTTGTTTTGTTGTGTTTTGTTATGCCAAAATGAACATTTTCAAATATTTTGTTTAGGCTTTGTTATTATTTTTGTTGTTGTTATGCTTTATGCTGCTAGACGTGCCTAGTAACGTTCAGCAACATGAACATGTTTACAACGTGAAGAAAGCAGCCAACCAAGCAAGCAAGTGAGCAACAAAATTTATATGCGCTACCGCACAATTTAAACACTTAGTGGCAGCGGCGGCGGCGGCATCGTGGTGTATGTATGTAAATGAATGCAAATGTTTATGCATTTATGTATGTGGTATTGTACCTACTAGCAATTTGCAATTTGCCTTTTTTTTGTGTTTTATTTACTTTATTTTTTATTTTATTTACACTCTTATTATTTTTCCTTGAATGCACGTTCTTGTGCCCACCAAAGTGTAATGTAAATGTTGTTCTATTCGTTGTGTGCATATAACAATCGCTGTAATTAGTTGCAAACTACTGCAACAACACGAGCAATTATTGCAATTATGGCAGCAACAGCAACAGCAACAACAAAAATAATAACAATTTCATGCATTCATGTTGCCAGTATTTACGATGATTTGAAGAACAATAAGAAGAAAAAAAAACATGAAGGAAGTAAAGGAAAGGCACAAAATGAAAGCATATAGATAAAAATAAAGACGCCATTTTTTTCTGCAACATTTATTGTTGCGTTGAAGCATAGGCAAGTGTTTGAAAAAGTACACTGCATAGGAAAAGTACTTTTAAAAATATATATAAAATTATAATAATAATTGTGGTAGAATGAGGACACTTTATAGGGGAAGCATATATTTGAGAAACTATTGGTAATTATTACTAAAAATGTAAAAAAAAAATCAACTGTTCGCTTACAATTATCCGCATCCAGTGTGAATACTAAAAGATAAACTGAATTTATAGGTAAAATAATAGAAAAAATTTGACATTTGTTTAACACAAATGTGAGTTTTCACTTCAAATGTGATAAAATTCGAATTCAATCCTTAGTACTTTGTTTGAGTATTATACTTAAGTAAGTCATTAGTTCAGGTGTCTTAAAGATAAATCTTCACTTTTAGTTCGATAGAATTCGAATTCAATTATTGATACTTGCAAACATCAAAGAAAAATTGATATTTGGCCACCATAAGTCAAGTATGGTGTTAGTTTACGTATCTAAAATATGTATCTTTACATCAAATTTAAGCAATTCCATTTAAAGCTCAGACTCAATCTTTGATACTTGCATATACAAACTAGAAAATCTAAAAAATATTTTTAAAAACAGATGTTACTTATTTTAGTATTGTATATAACAGATATATAGTCAACTATAAATTCAATGGATTAAATAAATTTTTTTTTTCACATATTCATTGTTATTTACTTCCTTTCTATTTAAAATTAATATAAAGTTATATTTACTATAATACACTACAGAAATTATTAACTACATGCTATTCTCGAAATAACTGATCTCGGATTTTAGCGAACAATGCGCTGTAAGTGTTCACTAGCGCACCTAGTGTACACTTAAAAATTTTCACACAAATGCGGAAACTATTCGCATACTTTTAAGCAATAATAAAATAAAAAAAAAAAATAAAAAAATTGTTTATTTCAATGCACCATAATTACATTTAACATTTTGCTTTTAAAGAAGTTTACTTACTTAAAAAAAAATTAAAAAAAACTACCACTCAAATTATCTGTCTAAAAAAAATGGCAGTCAGTTACTTTCCGCCTTTTTGTTTTTTCTCTCAATACTGCCTTGATGTGCTTGCACCTTTCATACCTTTTATGCTGTTTTGTTGCTAAGAAAATTGCGTGCTATATTGTTTACAGATACATGACAAACCTGTTTCAAATTAGACATGCCCGCAGTTTGTGCTATTTCAATGCTTTCAAACCAATAACAACAACAAACCAAGCAGTCTATGCTTTTGTTTTCATTTTTCCAATATATATTTTTTTATAGTGTTCGCTTAGCTATTTAAGTTTTGTTGATAAAAATTTCATTGGCAACATATGTATATATACACACTACTTAATACAATATTCTCTAAGCATACTTAATGTGTAGCTTATGGAACTCAAATCAGCCTTAAGCTTAACGTATTTACCTTATGATTTTATATGCTGAACAGAAAAAACTACCTAACATATAATCAAAGTTAAATCTTTTTGGTGCATTTTTTGTGAATATTTTTTATTTTTTCATTATGGAATGTTGCAAACATGTTGCTTTTTTGAAATTAATACTTTTTCATTGGATTTGCTGTATGGTGAAAAAAGGTCAACTTGAGGCGTTTTCTCAGGACCCACATCATTATCACAACACAATAAAAGCAATGCCAAAAGCAAAAGCAAAAACAAAACAAAAAACAAAGTTGCTTTTAAATTGATTGCATTCATTTTTGTTGCTGCTTTTGTGTTTATATACTTTGTGGCAATTGTGGCAGTGTATGCTTGCTGCTATAACACATGCAGCAAATGTTGCTTTGTCTGTTGGTTAGCGTATTGTCGGGATCGCTCATTTTACTCTGCCTTTTGGCTTGCTTTGCCTAACATATAATCAAGTGTAGATTTTGTTTTAATTTTGAAGTCAAAAATGATTGATGTTATTGCACACAAAAGCGTGCTTTGCTAATTTTTAGTTGTGGTTTTAGTTTTGTTTAGGTTTTGCATTTAGATTTGTTGTGCTTTATTGGTTAATGCAAGTGAATTTGAGTTTTTGTACAATTCTTTTTTTTTTTTTTATATTTTTAAATTTAAAATGAAGTCACAGAGTATTGATTTTGTACCTATGTATTTTAATTAAAATTTGCTTTATATACAAAAAAAAAGATCACAGTCTGTGAGTCATGAGTTAATATGTTATTTATATTTATATTCTGTCATCTCTCTCTACTTATGACAATTTTAAATTTTCTCACACTCTTAGAAGTCTTTATATATGTATCATAAATATTCCATATATTATATCCCTACATATTATCACTTCAGTGAAAAAAAAAATTAATTAAAATTTATTAAAAAAATACTTTTGATCATTAATTACTGATTTCATTTTATGGTTCAAATAATATTTGTGCTTTCACAATAATCTTATTGGTACGTCTTATTAAAATTCAATCATATATACACTTTAAATTTTATTTAAATATTACAACAATATGAATAACAACGAAAATTTGCTTTATTTAATACTCATTTATTTTATATTTCATATCAAAATATTTTTCACATACATTGTGACATCATTTACTCTGAAAAAGAAAAAAAAATAAATCCTTTTATACCCTAATCTCTTCCTCAATTTCATTTCCAAGTAAAACTACAGACATAAGTGCTTGCATATCATCACTATGCTACTTTAATGCACTATGCCTGCCACCTCATGAACTACAACAGAATGTTCACTTCAAGGTGGCATTATTTTTTTTATTGCTCGTGTTTTGTCTACGCTCTTTTTACATATAAAAATAGTAACTTTTATCTATTTATTGCTTTAGTGATTTTTATCAATTTTTGTGGCTTATTTGTGTCATAAAAATATACGCTCGTCAACAAAAAACCAAAAGAAAAACCAAAACTTATCTTGTCCACATTTGCAAAGCCCAAAACACAAAGCCCACATTTAAAACAATAATAAAAAGCAACAACAACCACAGTGACAGACAGTGCGCATCATGCATTATCCTGGGTTTTCATTTTTGTTTTTGTATCTCAACATTCATATTATAGCAACAACTGTTGACACTGTTTTGTTGTTGTGTTTGTTGTTGTTGTTGTTGTTGTTGTTACCTTTTCTGTTAAATGTGTATAAAATTTTATTTTACGCAAATGTTACTTTTCCCGTGCTGCGCCGCTTATCTCCAGTGTCACTTGCTGTTTCCGCATAAAATTCTGCTTAAGTCTGTCCATTTTTGCATGACTCACGCTGTTTGCGACATGACGAATCTGTTGATTTGTTTGATGTCATTTGAAAAGCAGGTAGGATCGCTTTTGTTGTATAATAAAAATTTTAAGGTTAATCTTAAAACATGTCCTTGTAACATTTTGCAAGCAGAAATATCCTGCTGACATATTTTGTTTTGTTTTATTTTATTTTTTTTAAAACACATTTATTGTTGCAACATTGTTGCGATTGTAGTTCTTGTTACATTGCAATTTGCTTGACATTGACGTGATGTGTTAAATGTCAACAGGCTCTGTGTTTCGCTGCTACGTAGGTGGTATTTGTTTCTCAAGGAGAGGTTTCATTTAATTTGGAATTTCTTGGAATCGCTAAAATCAATTGAAATCTTGTAATTACCATGACACCTGTCTTAAAAATACATTTAGTAATATAATTAAAAAGATATATCGTTGAATGGAATAATTGGTGTGACATAGATGAGCATTTGTTGGAGATATAAAAACAAAGAGTTAGAAAAATTGGGTGGATAAAAGATATGATAGAGTTATTGTTTAGACCAGCTTAAGTTATTTAGGCGTTATTTAGACATATTTATATATATGTCTATATATAAGTCTGCTTCAAAAACCATGGTTTTTAAGCAGTATATTCTATTTTAATAATAATAGGCATGAATATTTGCAGAAGACAGGCGACAAATAGTGAGTGATGAAGAGAAATGATTTAGGAAAACCATTTTCCTATTTTTTAATATTAATTTTATTATTATAATTGTTGTTGGATATTCGAAATATTAACATTTTTATAGTCTTTTCTTTAATAATATTAATCTTATTACTATTATTGTTGGATATTCGAAATATTAACATTTTTATTATCTTTTCTTATTACAGATAAGATCACAAAAACCCTACTACACAGCGGATCCCGAAGTCGATTCACTTGTAAGTATATATTTTACTATTAAAATTTTTTACTAATATCAAAAAGGATTATTATTATAATGATTATTATTATTATTATATCTATATTATCTGCTGTCCTTTTCGGTTCCATTGTTTGTCAAAAGTGGTTATGGGCGAGTGCATATTGCACCAAAGGAAGAAATTCGTAAAACTAACTCTCACTTTCTTTGTCCAAATTACAGTGTTGCAATGTGGGTGGGTCATCTCAGTTAGCAAACCCTATAGTTCGTGACAATAAATATTGTCTTCTTTTATATATCCTTCTGAATACAACCTGTTTAGACTGATATCACTTGGTTGATTAAGTATTATGTCAAACTTTGTTCTTTAGAGTTTTATAATAAAATATATATTTATATACATATATTTCTAATAAAGTACTTATAAGTATATGTATTAAATTAGAAAAAATTATTAACGTTTTATTTTTGTGTGGAAGGAAACTATATAGAATTTTAAATATTTATCCAGAAAATAATGTATTGCTTATAATTTATATCTTATTTTTATTGTCTTTTTTTCTTTACTTGCTTGTGAACTTTTATAAAATCTAGCTCACCTTGACCCAAAACAATGCAATGTCTAAACAATTGAGTACAATTCAATATAATTTAATTAAATTATACTATATGTTTTCTTATATTATATGTTATAGACACGAATATATATTTCAAAAAGAAAAAATACAAAGCGCAGCTATTCTAATTTAAATAAATTGTTAAATCTTTCCATTAAAGTACAAAATATTCACAGCAATAAATTTAAAATTTTTAAGATTTTCAATTCGTCGGTCGATGTGTAGTTTCCAGAGATAAATTTGTCACAATTTGCAAGCGCACAAGTTCAATGTCAAACGCCATATATTTTTTCTTGCCCAGTAATACAATAAACAGACTTTACTGTTAAATAAAAAACTACAAAAATAATTACAAAAAATACTTAATGCAAATAACAACTACACAAACACAAAAAAAAAAAAACAAATTAAAAATAATAAAAAAAGCTCATCAACATATTATAATCACACTTAATCTTAAGTGACTGAACGCCGGCCGAGCCGAACCCAGCATTCACAGATATATCAGATACATCATAAAAAATTGTTAACCATTAAAAACAATAAAAATAAGTTTATACACATGTGGCAGCCCACATAGCACAGCAGCAGCAGCAGCAGCAACTCAGTACTTTACTCATCATTTCGTGGCGCAAAACCAAAATAAAGCAAAAACAATATAAAAACAATAAAAGCAAAAATCAAAAGCAATAAAATTGCAAGTAAAATTTAACAAAAAAGAAATATAATATATATATATATATTTTTTTTTTTTTGTGAATAAAAAGAGTTGTTAACTTATTTTATTGCTGCATTTGCTGTGACTGTTGCTGGCCCATTGTCTTCTTGTTGCTTTGATGATGCATTAGCAACATAAGCAGAAATGTCTCCGCAAACAATCAAAATATAATATCCAGCCCATGAGTTTTATGCAATTTTTTGAATTACTATTTTTTTTTTCGCTTTGCTCCAAAATATCATAAAAACGCCACGCCACAGTCACAATGTTGTGGGGGCAAAATCGCATATGCAACCTCAAAATCTCATAGTAAGTTTGCAAAATGCAACACTGCAGCCGCAGCAGCAGCAGCAGCGAGTCGTCAAAGTGCTGCCATAAAACTTAATCGTAAATTTGCTTTTGTCTTTTATTGTTTTGCTTTTGTTTTTGCTTATTAAAGATGTTAGTATCTTTATTTTTGCTATTTTCGGCTTAAGCATATGTGGACTTCATTTTATTATTATTTTTTATTAGCGTATTTCACTGCAACACCAGTTATGTTGCAAACAAACACCAAAAACAAAAAAGGAAGCAAAAAAACAATACTCTATGATATCAACACAAAAATTGTTTATGTCGTTTGGTTGCATGTGTATAAACATGATGCAGAACGATTTAATGATGCATATGACATTTTTGCACTCTTTAAATATCAGAAAAATGTTCATAAAATCACAAAAAAAAAACAAAAAAAATATTAAAAGAAAAATTGACAAATAAAGTTATGGTGGCAAGCTGGGTAAAAAAATAACTTCAGACACAAAACGTACAAAAATCGTGCACTTACAATATTGCCAACCTTGAGTAAACATTGGTTGAGTTTTTTTTTTTAGAGTATTTTTTGTTTTTATTCTGCTCGACACGAAGTTGAAAGAGTAATGCCTCTTTGTTGTTTATAAACATCCTTATTGATGTTGCAGGCATGAGTAATTGCTTTGCATTATTGCTCTAATAATTCAGTGAATTGCTTTACTGATGTTTTACTTTGAAATGAAAGGCTTTATAGTTTATTTAATTGCTATATATAGAGCTTAAAACTGTTTTTAGGGAATGTAGAATAGTTCCGAAAATTTGGTGTATATACTTTGCAGATGAACTCCCTAGAAATACTAGTTGATATATATTAAAAACCGATTATACCACAGATTAGTTACTATGCTAAAATGTTATACGAAAGTCTTTAAATAGTTGCTGTTAAGGCATTATTATAAGATTGTAAGGTATATTATTTTTTCTATATAAGGTAGCAAAACAGTCAAAATCATATTATTTGTGCTATGTAATATAACCACTTAATCATGTAATGAAATTAACTCAAAATGACCGGTCACCTATCGAAGTTAAGAATTCAATCTAATCAGACAGCAGATACTTTAGAGAAGAGAGCGAAACTGCATACCATGTGCTTCGGGAGTACCTGTTGCTGATGCATAAGTGGACAGGCTTTATACTGTCTTTCATTAAAGAATTCGGACTTGGAGAAACACTCTAATCCGACTAAGGGACACAATAGATCTTTTACGTCCCAGTGCACTATTCCTTCTTTTCAATAGTAATAATATCTCATAATTGTTGAATTATTTTGGAGTTTTATTTGGAGTGCTGTAGAATGCTAGAACAGCACGTTAGATTATGATGACACTCTAAGTGAAGATCAAACTATTGACGAATTAAATCTTGCCACGAATTAAAGTCTAAGAGGTTCAGTCTTTCAAATAACGAGAAAACTATTGGCTATCCTGCCACGAATCTAAGCCGAAGAGATTCATTTAAATCTTACACTGTTAAAAGTTGTTCTGCATATATCATTCAATGAGTACTATTGTTAATGGTTGTTATTTTCATCACGTACTTCGCGGGTTCTAATTTCGGTCTCGGATTTCTAATGTTTTTAAACTGTTAGGTTGGGTTAGGTTCAGAAGGCGAGCGTTGAAAGTTGTCAGCACTACCACTCAGAGGCATATATTGCCCATTGTGATGTAGGCGAGTTGCGTTATGTCTGGTTCATCTGGTTTTCCAGGTGAATTTGAGGAGATCCGATAAGTTTGTTTGTGTTAGCTCTTCCAGTGAAAAAGCGATCTTAATCGGTTATTCCAGTGTTTGACTAATCTAACTTCATTTACGCATATCTTTTTATTAATTAACTGTTCTCTGCTCTATTGTCTATTGCTCCATTGTAATATTTCCGCATAGGTATACATATACATCTACATATATATGTTCTAATAATACTACACATACATTATATAGGTAACTACTATAAAAATCTAGTTAAAAACTCCTACTACTGTTTTTGCAATAAAAACTTATTATGCAATTTTTTTTTTACCATTTTTAAATTATTTTCTCATAATTTGCATATTTAATATTTAGTTATGATATTTTTAATTAAAAGTATCTTTTTACTATTTTTAGTATGTCTTAATGTCAGACCTGTTTTCAAAGTTTTAAGTGCTGTCAGCGCCAATGAACAAGAACATTACTTTTATTCCATATAATTGCCATAGTAAACTCTTTAATGACATTTACAAGTAAAGCAATTAAAATAAAAAGCAATAAGCAAATAAATTGATTTTTTATGCAATTATTTTAAGAATTCATATAAGAAAAATAATAATCAAACTAAATTGTTAAAGAAACGTACATTAATCAAAGCGCATTTCAATTAACTCGTTACGATTTGTTTAAACAAATAAAAACTATTTAACTATTTAAGAACGTGTAATTAAAATTGTTAACCATTAGTTGCGATTACTCGTTAATGTAATTATAAATAAGTACCACACTTTTTTACGTACATTAATTGTAAATTAACAGATAAATATTTAATTAAAAGTTTTTTGTTATTAATTACTCAAATGGTTTTGAAGATTTAGGAATATGAACTGTTATTCACATATATTTTATGGAAAGTACTCGGGTGGTACTTGGGTAGATTTTTTTTATAATAAGGATTTAAAATGCTAAATAAGCTAATTTAAATATATTAAATAAATTTGTTTAAAGCTTAGCTAACAGATGTTTTACCTTTAAAGTCACTTTGATATAATTATAACGTATTACTCGTTATTTTAGTGTCTTGAACTAGTTATGTAAAAATCCAAACAGCTTTTAATTTAAACATTAACTACCGCTGATTATAAGCAAAAGAAATTAATGACTTTATTTTTATAATTATTATATTAGTTGTAAGCAGTTTTGTCTCTGAGATTGCAAATTCTAAATGTATATGGTTCTCTATAAATCCAACTTAAAAAAGGACAAAAAAACATAATACTATTATGTTTAAAATTTTTTCTTAAAATCGATTTAAAAATTCATATTTTCATGAAACAATAAATAAATTTCTAGTGCAAATTATATTCTACTAAATCCCACAGAAGCATTTCACTATGATTAGCAACACCTACAACAATAGCAACTTGCATATAAACATTAAAAGCCAGAAACTGACAATGATATAAATATAAATCAAAATGTTATGTTCTCAAATGTTATTAACTTATTTATTTGTTTATTGACTTAGTTTTTAACTTAAGTAATAAAAATACTGTCAGTACATTAAATGCATTTTATATTCTAAACATTTTATTGCAACCAAAGTTGTTGCTGTGGTTATGTTGCCATATTGCTTTGACTCTGGCTAGAGTAGAGGAGCCCTAATATTTTCCACTAGAACTCAGAACTCAGCCCTCAGACAGTTTGGCAGTGAGTGCGCTTGCGTACTTGTGTCATAAATCATTTTGTCTGTTTGGCTGCTACTGATGTAAATTCTGTTTGCTTGTAAATTTGCTGTCTGTCCGTAAAACTTATAAGATTGCCTCTACTAATATAGTGTACGGGTACATGCCTATATGTGTGCCCATTTATCTATCTTTGCAGCTGAGCTGCCTATTGCATCTGCTTAACCAGAGTAGGCATATGAGTGTATCTGTTTGTCAATAAAAAGTAAGACAACAGCTAGCAACAAACATTTAAATGTGCATTTTAGTAACACATATTTAACGTTTCATTTTTAGTTCTGGTAATGTAATAAAAATTTTTATATGCCTTGCACCACAACGTTTCACTCAGCTTGGCGTTCTTCTGCGGAGAAGAGATTCTTATTGCTGGAGAGATATCTTCGATTCGTCTGGAAGTGCGTGCGTTGTGATTATGTTGTTATGGTTCTACACAGTGAGAAAATTACAGCGTGTTTAACTTGTCAATTTTAACTGTGACAGCATAAACTTAACGTACACTCAAAAAAAACAACAAAAAACGGCACTAAAACTTACTAAAAAAAGTAAAAGTTTTTCTACAGTTTAATTTCATTCTATCGTATTGAGTTTTTTTTTAATGACTTTGGGGTTTAATTTTTTAATTTATTTTGTTTGACTTGTTTTGGTTTTTGTGGGGATTTTAGCATCATAAAAATGTCAAGCGTTAAGTTGACACTTTAATTAGTGAAGTTGAGTAGAGTAGAGTTTAGTTCTGCCAGTGGTTGCCTTTATTCTTCCTATGCATCTGCTCCTGCCTATGTTGCAGATGCATACTGCATACTGTGTTGCAGCAACACGACGATAGTCACACTTGCAAACAATTTTCATGCCTTAGCTTCACGCAATGCAGTTTAAATTTTATTGTTAGCACCAAGCAATATTTAAGTTAAGCCAAACAAAAAATCAAAAAAAAATGGAATAAAAAAGAAATGCTTGAAATAAAAAAATTATAAAGAAAAAGATATTTTAATATTTTAGCCTCATCATCATTAGCCTGAAATTCCAAATCATTTTTAATGCGATTAAAAATGACTAAGCTTTGCAAAAGTTGCGAGAAAAAAGCAACTGAAAAATTTTATGCATATAAAAATCGTATAAAAATAAGATGTTTACTGCAAAAAGCTGATTTCTTCATAAGCGGTCCGAATGAAGCCCATAAAAATAACTTAAATGAGAGTTTGGCTTAAGCTGTTTTTTTTTGTTGTATTTATTTTTGCAATACCTCAACTGCTTAAATGAAACATTCAGGCAAAAGCCTTAATATCTTTCTTCTTTGCAATGCCATCTTCTGGCAACATTTTTTCGAGATAAAAACCAATTTGATGTCACAGTCAGTGCTTTCTCCGCCAACCCTCTGCGGTTTAATAAAGAAATTTATACGCAAATAATGCCAAAAAAATAAATTGAGAAAAAACTCAATTTATGTAAAATAAGTAAAATATTCAAAACAACAAAAAAAAAATAAATAAATTTACATAAAATATTAAATTAAAATATTAACAACATATTTTCATTATATTATATATGTTGTTACATACATACGGGCATCAAAAAAATATTGAAGCAACTTCTCTATTTTTGATCGGCTCTCTTTATAAATACCTCACAAAAGTTGAAATTTGGTGCTGCCAACACTTTTGCAGGACTGAACTTAGTTCCTGACTTAAAACTGACACTAATACCTTTTTAAAACTCTTAACTGTTATCGCTATGGACCTATTGGGTCTATGCCTTCCCAACCTACTTAACTACATTCATAATTGCGTATGCATGCCTACAGACTGGAATTACAAAAAGTATACATGCTATATTAGTGTATACTTGACTCAGTCTCTAATTTACACTCGCTATGGACTTAATCAGATCTATGAATGATCTCAACCAGCCAGCACTACCTACCTATCCGTTAGGTATCGCTGCGAAGCTATCGACTCAAAGTGTGTGGCTTCGGCCAAACCGCTTCACTTGACTAACTAACTGCATTCATACTTGCATATTTATGCATAAAGAATGATATTTAAATAAATAATGATACTGATATACTCAGCGTAATTAGATTTTACTTAGTTATAAACCAGGACCTATACAGCTGTATACAATAGAATCACGCATATATAAACTATATAACTAATAATAAACATTATAGCAAAAGAAATTTATGTATATACTTAATTAATTTATAATTATCTTTATTTGAATAATAAAATTAACCAATCTCTTTTTTTTCAGATGGTGCAAGCAATACAAGTACTTCGGTTTCACCTCCTAGAATTAGAAAAAGTAAGTAAAATTTTTTTAAATTAATTATATTAGAATAAAGGAAAAAAGAAAAAATGCATACACAAGTTTCTTGGTCTCATTAATTTAATTTATCACGACAATGGAAAAAACGAAAATATAATCAAAATATATTAAATATTCTATTCAAGCTCCATCATTCTCTTCCCCTCTATCGAGAAAAAGCTTATGAAGTGACTTATTAGCATACGCCGTAGCTAGGTAACCCTGTATTCGCTTAATTTGTCAACATGTTTTCTTTTAAACAATTTGCTTAGCAGCAGCAGCAGCAGCAAGTCAAGGTATTTGCTTTTGACATAATAACTCTTCCGATCATGACAAAATTTTAATTTAATATGACAATCCGGTTGGATTGATTCTGATTCTGGGTATCTGTTGGTTGTACCAAATATTGACAACCTGTTAACCAACTTAAATGCAATGAAACTTGTTTTGATTTAAACAATGAGAATAAAATAAAACCAACACACAGAAAAAAAACCATCGCAGAGTCAACTAAACTACATAAGCAACATAATCTGCTGCGTATATATGTATATATACATTTGTGTATGTGTATAAACATAATTGCGCAATTCAAGGTACATTGTTAAATGTCAATTGCTAAATTAAATATGTTGCTGCTTGTTGCAATTATAACATTAACTTGTTTACTTAACTGCAAGACTGTTGTAGTGCAAAATTATGTTACCATAGAATATAAAAATGGCAATGAAGCACAAATTTAATACAAAAAAAATTGTATCTTATAGATACATTTGTGTTGCATGTGACACATAGCGGGTACGCTGTGTGATGTGATTCGTTGCTTCTGCTGTGCTGCGGCTGTTGCTGCATACAACACTTGTGTTGTGTTGACATTTTATTTGCGCTTATGTCACAGCATGAGATTTACTTTTTGCCTTTAAGACGTTACGTTACGTTACGATATCATGTTTAATGTCTAAATTAAAATCGGTTCAAGTCTGTTCTTATTACAGCAGCTAAGTACATGTTGCTGCGATTGTTGCAACAGCATTATTGACAACTTCATGTACGCTCGCTAACATTATTAATTACCAATTAAAGTAAACATAAATATTGCATGCATTTAAGTTGCAATGATATTATAAACTTATATATATATATATAGATATGTATTGTCTATTTTATGCATTTTATTCTAATAATTATTTGCGTGTTGCTGTGACTTTGGTGACTTGTTGCTTTCGACTGTGTTTATGTTTACTTATGTTGCAAAAAAAAAAAAATCTTGTGACTAACTTAGCATTTCAGTCTCGATTTTTGTTGCCGTAATTTATGTTTTTAAGCATTGAAATCGTGCTTGACAAATTAATGTTTTCAAAATACTATTTATTGCTGCACTCATTTTAAATTAGAGACGATTTACTGTGATAAATATATTGACCTTAATTTTATAGAGTTTTATATATTTAATGATCATTAACATATTTGTGACATGTGAATATACATGAAGTTTTGTTGTGAGGATAATTTAATATTTGTTTAAAGTGTGTTTATGGTCTAGGTTTTTGTCTAGGTGTTTAAATTTACTATGTCGAAAAAGATCTATTCCGATCTGCGCTAAGAGGACTGCTTTATATCGACACTTCTTATTCTCCTTTGATTTCAAGGAATCTCCAACAGCTGAGGAAGAACTCTCTTATCATTAGATAGGCAGTTCTTTTGTAAACAGTTCATTGCCTGTTTATACGATATATTAACTCGTGTTAATGTAAACTGGTTGAGTTTGTTGAGAATATATAAATGTATTTCTTAACGGTGTCGATACTTTTATGTCTGTCACTCTAAAGCGTATTTAAAAAACGTATTTTGAGCTGCTGAACTGTGTTAAGTGTCCATATAAACATGAACGAAACGTATCTAAGGAAAACATATCCACTATAACTGTTTGTGTCCTAGAACTTGTCTACTGCTTTAGCGTCACTTATAACTTTTTTTAGTTCTGAAAAATTGGAGTTTCACGATTTTAAGTTATACAAATTAATTTCTGTCAAAAATCTTTTAGTTTAAGCAAAATATTTTAATGTACCCAATACAGTCATTAGCAGTTGACTAAAGTCATTATGAGATATATGTTTCTGAAAAAACGATGTTTCTGAAACATTTATTTTATATTTCTAGTAAACTTTAAATACCAAAAAGAACTCATTGATTTTTTTATTAAATTTAAAGTTTCATTCAAAAATTATTCACAACACATTTCCTCCTGCATATTTGTGTGTACCGCACAAGTGTATTTTAAGTGCTGCCACATAAAATATTTCTCTGTCTAGCTTTGATATCGGTTCTATGTAGAATTTTTATCTTTTTGTAATTTTAACATCCTGTTTCTATTATTATTAGTGCTATTATTGTTTTTCATTTTTTCTTTTATTGTTTTTATACTATTTATTTGTTTGTTAAATGCAACAAAGCCAACACCAGTGCCGCCACCCCCAACTTCAGGTCCACAAAACAGGCGGCAATGCCGACAACAACATAAACAAACCATAGAGCAACATTTTTTTGTTTTAGTTTATGATTATTTTGCTTTTATGTTGCTTCATAAACAAATAATTTTCTCATTCATGGCAACAATTAAACAAATTTTGTCTGCCATAGACGACGAGATACGAGATACGCGATACGCGATACAACAACTATCGTTTCATATCAAATGAAAAATATCTGTGAAATACATTGGTACGACGACGTTTAGCACAGGAAAGGCAAACAAATGCTCACCTGTTCTTTTTGTTTTATTGTTTGGCATGAAGTGAGTTTTTCTATCTACAATAAAAAATCAAATAATACACTACAGAAAGATACTCTACTCGTAAATGCGCTATAATTCAAATATTATTTTAAATTAGAATTTTATGACTTTATAGCAACTTTTTTTGCTTTATTGTTTTATGTGAAAAATTTACGCACTGCGAAGCACAAGAAAAATTAATAAAAAATACTTTTTAACTCAATAGTGGAGTATAAAAAATAAAATATAAATTCAAGCGCAGCTTTCAAATAAAAGTCATGAGGTGTGATTTTGCATTAATTTAACATTTTATTATAATTATTAAAATTTTTTCTTCTTTTTTCATTATATAAAAATGTTTTATTAACAAATTTTAAAGATTTTTTCAACACTGATAACATTTTTCATTACTTCAGCCTCAACCTCAACGTCAACCGTCTGCCTTCTGCCTGGTGCAATGCATTAATGCTTTCGTTGCGGCAACAATGTTGCTTGGCGCTTAGCCGCTTGATTCATGCACTGTTAGCCACAAAATTCACAGCAACACCTACTTTATTATAATTATTTTGACTAAATCGAAAATTATATGTTGCCTAATTTGCTTTTTATTAACTAATTTATTTACTTTTTTATTGTGTTTATTTAGGGGAGTTTTTTTCCTTTTTTTTTCTAATTATAAATATATTTTTAAGCAATTTATTTCTAATGTGTAGCTTACACGTTGGTTTACGACCTTTTGTTGCACAAAGTCTGCCCTTCGAAAACAAAGGCATTTGCTCGAAATTAATGTTCGCTGCTAGGAAATTAATTAGAGAACTGCTTAGCCATGCATAACTTTGAAAATTTTATACCTAAGAAATTATTTAAATCGAGGAAAATGGTACCGCCGAATTCAAATATTTTCGAAAGAAACTCACATTAAAACACACATTTAAGTCGGTCTTGTGATTTTCATTAGTGAATTAAGCTTAAAATTATGCAGATTTTTAACGAAAAAAATTTATAAGATTAAAATGCATAAATTAAAGCAACTGAAAGTATCTTCAGCAAAGCTGCTTCGAAAGTTTCTTAATTGTTTTAGTTTGTTAGAGGCGAGTTAGCGGCGAATTAAAGACAAATTAAGAGTTCGTTATTTGATGAGATTTCCAGCTCAGTGTCTGCTTCATTAAGACAAGCTTCTAATAAGACAACAAAATGACGGAAGAATTAAAAATATTAACACTTTTTATCAGTGTAACATCACTGATTGTGTCATGGCTAAAAAGAAATAATTCATATTCTTCATAGTCTTTAGATATGGCTAGTTCCTAAATCTATGGGTATAGAACTGAGCAAATGCGTAAACATTTTTAAAATCAGTAGAGCAATATTTAAATAAACGCTTAAGTAGTATAAAGAAGAGGAAATATGATAGATAATGAAACACAATCCCAAAAAGAAAAAAGATTGATTTTTTAGTAAACAACAGATAAAAGCAGATGAAAAATGAAGTATTTAAAAGGAGTCAATAGAAAAAAAGAGAGAAATAGAAAGAAACATGAGTTAAAAATAGAAAGAAAGAGAAAAATAGATAGAAACAGATGGACATAGAGAGTAAAAAAGAGAAAGAGAGAGTCAAATAGAAAAAGAGACATAGAGAAAGAAACAAAGAGAGATAGAAAGATGTAGAGCGAAAGGTATCTGAAAAAGAAGTTCGATAAAAGAATTAAAAAAAAAATAGTCAAAAAACAAATAGATAAAGAAACAGAAGAGAGAAAGAGAGTGTGAGAAACCTAGAGAAACCGAAAGAGACAAAAAGAAAAAGAGAGATGAAGGAGAAAGAAAGAAACAGAGTAAAAATAAAAGGGAGTGTAAGACGTATGTAAAGAAAGGAGGGATATAAAAAGATAAAAGGATAGAGAATAAAAAAAAGAATGAAAAAAAAAGAATGAATAGCGAAAAAGAGATGGAAACAAGATGGAATAAAAGAGAAAGGGAGGTATATTAAGAAAAATAGAGATATCGGAACAGAGGCGGAAAGACAAACTGAAAGACAGAAAGAGAAATTCAAAGATGGGAAGAGAAACAGTATCTTCTTTCATAAAAGCCGGATAGAAAGAGAAACATAAGGTTGGGAAGAGGTATGAAAGGGAATAGATCGTGGTGGGAAGAAAGCTACTAATAGGAAGCAATAATTTCATGAAAAGCAATGAAAAGAATATAACATGAATTGAAAAATTTGCTG